AGGAGGAGGAGGAGGAGGAGGAGGAGGTTTTCCATCGCATCGCATCGCCAGCGGCACGAGAGCTGTCCGAACCACCACGGGGCGCCTGCACACCTCGTGGCGAGCATCTGGGCGCCTGCTGTTGGAGGCTGTGGCCGGAAGAGTGTGGCTCCCTCGTGGTTGAGAATCCATGAGTTGACGCTCTGGCCGAGGGGCTCTGCAGCAGCACTCAGGATGCCGCGTGGCCGTTTTTTGATGGTTTTTGGACGCTCCTGAGGCCATGGGGGGGGGGGCCCCTGGAGGCTGAAAATAGCCCAAACCCACCCGTCGTGATTTTTCCTCACAGCGCGAGGGGGTCTGGGGTTTTCCTCCTTCGAACCTCAGCCTCCGCTATGCTCCCCGGACCTCTCCTGGGCTGCGCTCTGGCCAACATGTCGAGGCGACTCCAGCGGTGGCGACGAGGGCCCCCCAGGAGGCCCAGAACACGCCCGTCGGAAGGAGTGGGTAGAGCCATGAAGTAGGAAGTCGTTGGAAGCAGATTGGGTCTCCGCCCGCCCCCTGAAGACGAAGAAGAAAGGAGCACCACTCGATCCTTGAAATAGGAGGGCGCCTAAAGCATATTGGAAACTCTGGGAATCCAAACATCCCGACTTTCAACGACCGATGGGAAAGGGGAGCACGAGGGAAGGGTAGCGGTATCAGTACCTTTCCCTCCTCTGATCCATGTGCGCCCTCGTCTCCCAAACGTGAGTGTAGAGACCTCCAGACGGGGTAGGAGTAGATGGGGTTGGAGGATCGCGCTGCATCGCCGATGCACCGGCGATCCATTGGCGATACACCGGCGACGTCGGCGATGCATCGGCGCCGTCGGCGTGGAGGAAATCGAGCTACGCATCGAGCCGCACCGGCGATGCATCAACGATGCGACGCGATCCTCCGACCCCATCTACTCGACCCCGTCTGTTGAGCAGGGACCGACCGTCCTGGCATTCCTGTAGCTAGGCCTACCACGAAATGTTCTTATGACCAGAATAAGCTCGAAACAGAAAAGCAATGTTCTTGGAACGTAGAAATCCGACGTGTTAAATCAAGGCAAGTCTCGGCCAGAAGTGTGCCAAACATATTTCGTGTACACCACAAGTAGTTATTAGAACATTCTTTGGTGGGCCTCTAGGCAAGCCAAGACGCCTCGTCGCGGCTTGACTCTGGGAGGCCTGGAGAGTGAGGGAGACCCAAACCCCTGACGTCATGATTGTTTCATACCGTCGACCCCCAGAGGTCTCGACTTATTCCCCGGGACCGGCTTCTCATCCCGAGTCGTTTTTTGACGGTCCCGAGGCCCAGCGAGGGCCCCCCGACGCCGAAAATGGCAAAACACCTCCCGTCATGATTTGTTTCATTCCTCGAGGGGGTCTGGGGAGGTTTCCTGCTCCGAACCTCGGCCTCCCCCTCCGCCAGCGGCTCCGCCCGCGCCCCCGCGGCGCCGGCCCGCAGGGTGCGCTCGGCGCGCTGGCGTGCCGCCTCCGAGGGCGGGAGCCCCAGCAGCCGCTCGACGCGCGCGAGGACGCTCGCGGGCGACGCCAGCAGGTCCTCTCCCAGAGGCCCGGGCCCCCTCGCGCCGTCAGACAATCACGACGGGAGGGTGTTCGAGCGGAGCGAAGAATGACATAAACGTACAAACTCGGAGGTCCGCGCGGATTTCTTGGATCCGCGCCGGACGCCCCTCCCTGGCGCGCGGAGCGCGCCAGGGGCGGCGCTGGAGGCGCCGCCAGGGGGCCCCAGCGCGGATGCGAGAAATCCGCGCGGACCGTCGAGTCTTTATGTTTATACGTCATTCGTCGTTCCCCTATAGGGAGAGTGTTCGCCATTTTTCGGCCTCCGGGGGCCCTCACTGGGCCTCGAGAGCGTCAAAAAACGGCTCCAGGTGCCCCCGGGGAAGGGGCCCAGACCTCTGGGGCCAGCGTCGCGAAAAAGCACGCTTCCCAGCGCAGCCACTCGACTTCGGCGAGGACGCTCGCGGGCGACGCCGGCGGGTCCTCGCCTATAAACCGCAGCCAGCGGAGCAGAAAGCAGACCGTAGGAGCTCGGCCACGAGAAACCTTCCACAAGAGACCCAGCCCCGAGACCTGAGAGCCCAGAACGCCCATGGATCCTTGGCGTGGGAGCGTCACGCTGTCCATCCCAGAACCATTCGGCACCCAAGGAACCCAGGGCACCCTGGAGGCAAGCATGGTGTTTCTCGGCATGGGTTTCCATTGTACCCCTCATTAACCCTTGTATCTGTTTGTCCACGGGATTGAACGCGCCTCATTTGCCACAACAGGCGGGGAGGCCGAACTGTGGCATCCCCTCCAAAAGCCCTATCGTAGCGCTGATCTTCATCTCATGCATAGCACCGTGAACAATCCCATCCTGACATCGATATCACCAGGACAAAGTTAACACTCCGCCTGGACCCCGAACTTCGTCCCCACGGGATGATTCTCACCAGTGTGAGGTTAGGCTCAGATCCCCTCGCGCTGTGTGAGAAAGAACACCACGACAGGAGGTGTTTTGGTATTCGTTGGCCTCCGCGGGCCCTTACCTGGTCTCGGTAGCGTCAAGAAACGACTGGAATTTTTCCAGACCTCTGGGGTCGGCATTGCCCTCTCCCACAACTGCAACCCGCGGCTAATAAAGCATCCCCCCTTCCTTAACCCTTGTATATCTTTTCCACGGGCTAATGTGGCTTCATTGCCACAACAGGCGGGGAGACCGAACTTTGTTTTATCCTCTCCAAAGTTTCTATCGTAGCTCTGGTCTTCATCTTATGCGTAGCACCAGAATTACTCTCATCCTAATAACGAGATCTCTGGGACAAAATTATCACTCCGCCTAGACCCCGAACTTTATTATCACCAAGGGATTATTCCCACCAGTAGAGGGTTATGCCCAAAACTCTTCGCGCTGCGAGCGAATCACGACGGGAGGTTTTGGGTTATTTTTGTTGCGCCTCCGCGGGCCCTTACCAGGCCTCGGGAGCGTCAAAAAACTACTCGGGATGCCCGGGGAAGGGGTCCAGACCTCTGGGGTCGGCATTGCGAAACGATCCAGATGCCTGGGGAAGGGGTCCAGACCTCTGGGGTCGGCGTTTTGAAAAACCACGACGCTGGGGGTCTGGGTCGTCAGGCCCATCCTGAACCCTGCAGAAGTAGGCCCAGGCAAGGGGCCAGTGGATATGTGTATATTTCCGTCGCCTTATCTCAGACGTGCTCGCGCAGTGACCAAAATCACGACAGGAGGTTTGTCGCGATTGTGTCGGATTTTCGACAATATTCGCTGGTTCTTGAAGGTTTCCCAGCCAAGGGATGCCCTTCAGCACCTGCGCCTCGCCGAGAGCGTTCCGGGGGTGCCCGGATCGTCCCGAACGGAAGCCGGAGACCCGAATTACGGCCCGAACATCCTCGTCGTGGAAAACTCACGACGGGATTTTTGCTGGCAATTTTCGGCCTCAAGGGGCCCTCGCTGGGCCCCAAAACCGTCAACAAAACTGCTCGGGATGAACAGCTGGCCCTGGGGAAAGGGTCGGAGCGTCCGGGACCGCGTACGGAACAGATCAAGGCATCGGATGTCTGGGCTCGGAGGAAGGACAAGCAACACGGCACGAGCGCGCAGCCATCGTGCTACCACGAGGGACGCCGGTAAAGGAACGAGGGGGCTCTTGCGCCCACGGGGATCACCGGGCACACGAAAAAGTTTCCCAGCCTGGATCTGAGGAACGGCCCGAAGCCCGAGCGCCTCCCGAGCCCAAGGCGGTCCTTACTGCAGCGTCTTGGCTGTGAGCTGTCGGAGGTCCGCGCTGCTCTGTCTGGGGTCGGCGCTGGGCCCCCGCGTCGATCGCCAGGTGCGCCAGGGGCGGCGCCAGGGGGGAGCCAGCGCCGATCCAAGAGAGCCTCGCGGACCTCCGCAGGATTGTGTGCATGCGTGCGGTGCTGCTGTTGTGCTCTACTTGTACTAGCATTGTTAGCATCATCAATATTATGATGGTGGTGAACATTACTATCTTCTACGACTGTTAGTCTTAGTAGTTGTATTACTATGTATGTTTAGTACCCGTATAACTAGCACTGCTATGGTTACCTAGCAGTGCTACTATCGTCATTCCTGTTCATGTTTATGTCATTCGTACTCGTATTCTTATTCGTATTCGTATTAATGAAACTGATGATGATATTTGTCAGTGGTAGTCTTATCCGTGTTGCCATTGCAATTCAAACTCATATTAATATTCGTATCCCCCTTCTTCTTTTTTGCTACAAACATGAAAATCGTATAAGTGTTCTATGTTTTCGTCTTTATGTTCGAATGTTCCCAGGTCTGACTCTTCTCCGTCTTCCTCTGTTTCTATTCCTTCGTGTGGGTATTCGGGGTGTCTGTCTTCTTCTTCTTTTTCTGCCTCTTCTCTGTCGCTTTCCGGTCCTCGTACCTCACCTCCAGCCAGTCGGTGCCGCCCGCGGCGTCTTCGATGCCCTGGCGCGCGGCCAGGACGCTCAGGGCCCACTCGGCCAGGCCGCGGGCGAACAGGCGACGCCCCTCGTCGGCCGCGTCCAGCAGCGCCAGGAACCCCTCGCCCAGGGACAACTCGGCCTTCACGAGCGACGGACAGAGCCGCATCCGTGCCCTCGCGGTCTGGATTCTGGGGCGCGATCCCGCGGATACAGCAGAAGCTCGACCACAAGAAACCTCCCACAAGAAGCCCGACCCTGAGACCCCAGGAAGTCCATGGATCTTCATCACGCTCTCCATAGCAATATCATCGAAACCCAAGAAGCCCAGGGCACTCTGGAGGCAAGCAGGCAGGGTGTTTCGTGGCATGGGTTTCCAATCCGCGGTCGCACAGATACGTTCCGCGCGTGGCATCCACGAAACAACAAAAACACATCCGCGGCGTCGCGGCTCAAAGGTCCTGCCCGCGAGGCCGCGGTCACGGACGTGTTCAGCGAGATCCGACGCCACGGAAAAAAACAGCATCGCATCGCAACGAGCCCTGGACCCCGTCTTCTTGCGCAGTTCTTTCGAGCTGGATCGATCTGTGATGGTGCCGAGGCCCAAACTGAGCGAAAACGCCCGTTGCGAAAAAATTGTAACGCAATTGGGCCTCCTCCAGCAGGCGGGCCAACTGGCGCCACTTCCACTCGCCCTTCACGCCGTACCAGGCCGCCGAACTCCCGAATCGCGCCACAGATCGGGCCACCTTCGAGTAGGGGATCGACTACAGTACTGATTTTCCCCAGAACTTATTTCTGCGCCGAATCTACTAAACATACGTGGAACGATCTACGAGCATTCTACGTGGTTTCGTGAACCAATCCTGTAGTCGATCCTTGAGCAGGGACCGACAGTGCCGGCATCCCTACAAGTCTAACACGGAATGTTCTCAGAACCCAAACAGGTTCGACCCGTGTTGGAACAGGACAGTCCCAGCCAGAACGGTTCTCCGACCATGTCGGGCAGACCGCAAGGGGCTCTCAGAACATTCGCTGGTGGGCCTATGGTTAAGTCGGGCCTGTCCCTCTACAGGGGGATTTTCGACGAAAAAAAAACATACACAAAAAATCCTACAAAAAGGTCAAAACATACTCAAAAAATAGTCCCCAGACTATTTTTGGACTATTGTTTGACTACTCTTGGGGTATTTTTCATTTTTCGTCGTAAATCCCCCTGTAGGGGGACAGGCCCGACTTCAGCCTATGGGCGAGCCAGGGCGCTTCGCCACTGCCGGACGATCCCCTGCTCGACGCCTCGAGGCCGTCGCGCAGCAGGTGCACGACGGCGCAGCGGCCGGGCCCCAGGCCCTCCGCGGCCACGGCGCCCAGGAACGGGATCCGGAAGGCGTGCTCCTAGGGTTAGGTCGGGCACGGCCCCCTACAGGCGGGCTCTGGACGAAAACTTGAAAGGTAGCCAAAACATGCCCCCAAATAGCCAAGAAGAGTCGAAACATCGTCCCCAGACTATTTGGGGGGCTAGTTTTGAATCTTCCTCCTGTTGAGGAACAGGCCTGGCTTAATCTCAGGGAGACCAGAAAAAAGGTACTGGTGCCGCTGCTCCCCTAGAGGCCTCCTAGATGGGGATCGTGCCGCATCGCCAATACATCGCCGATGTACCGGCGATGCATCGGCGATGCATCGGCGATGCAACGGCGACGTCGACGTGGGGAAGGACGGGCTCCACATCGAGCCGCCTGGTCGATGCATCGGCGATACGGCGCGATCCTCCGGCCCCATCTACTCGGATCCCATCTAGGAGTCCTGGATCCCCAGACCTCTCTGGGGATGCATTCTCTTTGTCCTGACCTCCTCGCGTCGTGGAAGAATCACAACGTGAAGCTTTTCGCTATTTTCGGCCTCCGGGGGCCCTTGCGGGGCCTCGGGACTGTCAAGCAACGACTCAGGACGAAAACCCGGTCCCAGGGACGGGGTCCAGACCTCTCTCGGGATGGATTCCTTTTGAAAAGTCGAACCTGGGCCAGAAGATCATCCTTCAAGAGCAATGAGTCCCGCCAGCCAAAGAAAACCCGAATCATAAGATCACCAAGGGTGCCTTTTCCCAGGTGGCATAAGAACTCTAACAAATCTGAAGAACACCAGGGTACCCTCCCCGAGACGACCTCGACCTTATGTCTCAGTCCGACTGCACGGCGGACCGATGGGAGCAGCGAGCAGCGGACTGCAGTCGACGACACAACCCGCCAGGCAAGGCAGCGCACCGCACTGAAACGTGGTAAAATGCAGGTGCAGTCCCAGACATGCGACATCCTGATTTTTCCAGGACGGCGTCCCTGGAAATCCCGACCCTTTCCCCAGGATCGGCTTGGAATCCCGAGTCGCTGTTTGACGGTCCCAGGGCCCCGCGAGGGCCCCCAAGGGCCGAAAACAGGGAAAAACCGGCCGTTCGGATGTTTCAGCGACGCGATCATGTCTGGTGTGTAAACCAGCGTGAGCTTGACAAGGCATGCAGGAGAGGAGCAAGAGGAGGGGCACGAGGCTCTCTCCCCTTGGGCGCGTCCTCGCCAGGACTCCGAGGCGAACGCAGCCGTGGCGACGAGGGCCCCCCCAGGCGGCCCCCCGGGGGCGACAAGACGGGGCAAGGTCGGGGGCGGCCAAGATCGGGTCGGGCGAAAGAGAGGGATAGCAAAGGGGGGGGGTGAAAATCAGCTCACGTAGCTGATTTTCCTGGCGCCTCCCAGCGCCGGAGGCGGCTATGTATCGAGGACTGGGCCCCTCGGTGAGGCCGACACCAGCTGCATGCAGCAGATTTCGTATACCCCCCTTTCCCAATCCCCCCCTTCCGCCCGGCCCGACAAGAGGGGGGCGTCCAAGAGGGGGGGGCGCAACTCATGGCCGGCGGCATTTGCGCCCGGGGGACGGGCCGGGGACGTAGTGAAGTAAGAAGAGGCGCCATGAAATCTGGGGAGATCTCATGGCCCCCGCCACGAGACCCCCCCCCCCCCTAGTCATCACCCCCCTCTTTGCCGCCCCCGGCAAGGGGGTGGCGGCATCGGCACACCCTTTCCTCCTCGGAGCTCCGGAAACTTCTCCAGGATGACGCAGCGCTCCCTCGCGCCGGCGGCGAGGCTGGCCATATCTCGGTAGGCCTCTGAAGAAGAAGAGAAAACTGCGTAAACCTGACTTTGTTAGCGCTCCGCGCGGAGCGCTAAAAAACTATGTATATAGCGGCTCATGTTCTTCGACATGTCCCAGTCGGCCTCTAGAATCATAATAATAGTAGTGACAAAAAAAACGCCTAGATTTGTGGCGCTCCGCGCGGAACGCCGCAAATTTCTGTTCATGGTTTTTGTTTTGTTCTTCGACACGTCCCGGTCGGCCTCCCCGATGTGCCGCGCCACCGTCTGGCTTTGGGTCGGACATCCTCCTACAGGCGGATTTCGGAAGAACAGCGAAACAGGATCCAAACGTATTCAAACATTTTCAAAACTAGTCGAACAATCGTTCCCATACTTTGGCGGCGCGCAGAGGAGGGTATGGGGAGGGGGGAAGGCTTCCTAGAAGGAGGCTGCTTCTTAGAAAACGCCTGCCTTACATCTGTAGCGAAGGCCCGCGCCTTCTAAGAAGCCTTCCCCCCTCCCCCTATCCCCCTCCGCGCGTGGCTGAAGACTAGTTGCTTGACTGCTCTTGCAAACTCCTCCTGGACTATTTGGACGATTGGAAGAACAACGGAACACACAATCAAAGCACATTCACACAAAGTAGAACACTCGTCCCCATACGATGTTTGAACTATTCTTGACTGTTCCTCCTGTAGAGGGACTGCCCGACCCAAGTCTGGCTCCCGCGGCCCCCGTCCGCGGCCACGGCGGCCAGCGCGTCCTGCGGCTGCAGGGCCAGCCTGCCCCGCCGCTCCGGCGCGCGCACCGACCAGACGTCCAGGGCGGGCACGGCGGGGACCCACAGCCGCCTGCCGCACCGCTCGTGGCCGATCCCTATCCCCACTGGCAGGGACTCGGCCCCACGGGCCCACTCCCTCCCTCCAAGAGGTGGGTATACATCAACATCCATACACACATACATATATATATATATACATATATATATATACAGACTAAACATAGATTCTACACGTAAACATATACATGTGCATACATACAGGCACACATATAACAAGAACATATCCATGCATACTCACAGATTATCCAAATATGCTTGCCCTGTAGGAGTCCCAGCTCAAAGCTTACTAATTGGTCTGCTGGCCAACCCCTAATTCCTATGCCCCCCTAATCCGACCAGCCCTCTGGGCGTAGGTGGTTCCGGGAGTTTCCTCTTCCAACCTCCTTCTTCCTCTTCGGGGAGGGGTTTACCCCTCCCCCTAACCCCCTCCCCTGGACCTGGACGGGGGGTTTCGCTGGTAGTTGGAGCGTCCAAAACGGCCTCGGCGAGAAAGCCAAAATCATCGGTTTTACTAGGGTTTTGGCCCCATTTCTTCTTTTATCAATCGCTTCCAAGATGGCCCCAAAGGGCGCCCAGGAGGCCCCAAGAGGCTTCCAAGAGGCCTCCAAGAGGCCCCAAGAGGCCGCCATGAGGCGCCAAGAAGCCCCCAAGAGGCTCCCAGGATGGTTCCAAGAGGCCTCCAAGAGGCTCCAAGAGGCCGCCATGAAGCTCCAAGAGACCCCCAAGAGGCCCCAAGAGGCCTCCAACAGGCCCCTAAGAGCCCCCCAAGAGGATCCCAAGCGGCCTCAAGAGGCCTCCCCGAAGCACCCAAGACGCCCAAGAGCCCCCATTGACCGCCAAGAGACCCCCAAGACGCCCGAAGAGGCTTCCAAAAAGGCTTCCAAGAGGCATCCGAGCGGCATTCAACCATCCACCCAGCGTCATCATTCTCCTCATCCCTCCTTTGCTCGGTTCCTCGCCACCCCTTCATCTATCCATCTGGCCTCCTCTTCCGCCTCATCCTTTGCATGGATCGGCTGTCCCTCTCGTTGCTCCCCCACTTCCCTGATCTCTTGAACTTGTCTGGACATCGTTTCTGGATGGGCTGGTGGGGATACTTTTCGATCTGCGGCTCCAAGGAAGATTCCAGAGAGCGGGTCGAACAAGCTTGGGGCAACAAACAAGATAATTGCCAGCGGGCCAAAAGCCAACGCCGGAATGCACATGCGAGGAACAAAATTAACCTCCCTGGTGGGGATACGCGAAGCGTCAAGAAATCCTATGGCTATGCTTATGCCTATGCATGTCCCATTTTTTTCCAATGGCACCCCTTATGTATGCTTGCTTGCTTGCTTGCTTGCGTGCTTGCTTGCTTGCATGCGCGCTTTCTCGCTGGCTGGTTTTCTTGCTTGATTGCTTGCGCGCTTGCGAGCTTGCTTGCTTGCTTGCGCGCTTGCTTGCTTGCTTGCGCGCTTGCTTGCACGCTTGCTTGCTTGCTAAGTTGCGGATTCCAAGCATGCTCGATTCCTCAGATTCCTTGATTTGAATCGTCTATTATATTTGGAGTCAAGGCTGGCTGATATTTGTTTACAAACACCAATGTACAATTTTTTGTACAAGCATGGTGGGCTCCAGAAGCCCTGGACCCCAATACGTTTTCCTCTCTTGGGGAGCGCATCTTTTGCTTCCGGCGCCTTCTGCCAGCCTTCCGCTGGCTGGGGCGGCCTCGTTCTACTTCCGCCGCCTTCTGGTGGTGTTTAGGTACCATGGCAGTGGGGATGGGGATCGGCTAGACGATGCTAACGCGTGGGGCTCGTTGATGATCGAGGACGCAAAAATGACATAAACATACGTTGTCGGAGCTCCGCGCGGAATTTGTGGATCGGTACTGGCACAAGGCCGATCCACGAAATCTGTACAGAGCTGCGACATTGTGTCGTTCTGCCGGTTTGTCTTCTTCGAGTTGGGCACGACGTCCGCGTAAGCGCTCAGCACGTCCCCAAGGACGGGGGCTGAGGAACCATGGCCCAATGGAGGCTGAGATGCCATGGCCCCATGGTGATGGGCATGGGTTGAGATACCTTCGCCACATGGGGACTGGGTTTTGGGGAGGGCGGCTGACCTGGCGGGGCTGAGAGACCATGGCCCGATGGGGATGAGGCTCGGTTGGGCGATGCTGACGCCTGGGCTCGTTGAGGAACACGATGTCCTCGTGAGCGCTCAGTACGTCCCCGAAGACGGTGGTGCCCGACCTGCCGCAGCCCACGATGTAGCACGCCGAGACTTGCTGCCGCTCCTGCACCGGGTCGCTCGGCCGCCAGGGGATGCTCGGGCACGCCCCGCTGAGCAGGAAGGCGTCGAAGGGCGACGGTAGCAGCGCGTCCGGATCGTAGGGGAGCCAAGGCCGGCGCTCCGAGGGCGAGATTAGCGCCTCCCTGCCGCCTGCTTGAGCCGGAGCAGCCGGTGCTGACGCAGGTGGGTCCGCGGGGAGAGGTGGCATGGCGCTGGAAATCGTTGGCGCCTGGATGCAATGACCTGCGCGCTGGCTGTCACGGTGGCGCGTCGACGCAGTTGTAGTTTTTCCCCACATGCAGTAGATGTCCCCCGTGCAATGGTTCGCCCCCCCCCTACGCAAGAGTTGCGTACTGTTGCGCGCAACAGTACGCAGTCAATCAACGATTGCACCCCTCGCCGCCAACCCATCTGCGCCAGACCCACTACTCTAGCTCATCGGCTACACGTAAGAGTGACCCTATACAAGAGTGACCTTTGCTGCGGGGCTTCAGGAGAGCGCGGGGGCGTCAAACCCAGGGGCGCCAGCCGCTGCTGCCGCAGCGCACTCACCGATCGGGATCCCCAATGGGCCTCGGGGATCTTCTGACCTGGGTCAATCCAGACCTGGGTCAGTCAGGCCTTGCAGAATCCTGCAAAATCCCGCAAGACCCTGCACCCAAACCCGGGACAATGCGAAGGATCCTGAAACATCCTGCAGGATCCTGCACCCAAGCCCGGGTCAATGCGACCCTGGCCCTGCAGGATCCTGCAAGATCGGGCGCTCTGGCCGACCCCCGTTTGCATCGACCCCCGTCTGAAGGCTCCCGAGCGCCCGCACCAAAGGTCACCCCGGCAGAGAGTTCCTTGTATGCGTGACCGCGTTTGGAGCCTGGCAGCTCCGCGCCCAGCGCGGCTCGGCGGCGGTGCCTCTCGAGGCCCTCACGCAGCTCCACCAGCAGCGGCGGCGGCGGGCCGAAGCTCGCCAGCAGCGCGAGGCCCTGCAGCATGCCCTCCCTGCGCCCGCACTCGTCGCACCCGCAGCCGCGCTGCCCGGCGCCTGGCTCCATGCGGCGGCCACCTTCTGCTCGAGGAGCAAGAACAAAAACAGGAGCACAAACTTTCTGCGCTCCGCGCGGATTTCTCGGATCGGCGCTTGGCCCGCGCGCCAGGGGCGCGGGTCCAGCGCCCGTCCACGAAATCCGCGCGGAGCTCCAAAAGTTTGCGTGCTTTGCAAGTGTTTCTGCTTCGCTTTGCGGCGAAGGCCCAGGTCGGGCCGCCCGCACTCGAGCCGAAACGGCTTCCGGCGGCTCGACAGTTGTACCAGGAAGCGATGGAGCGCAGGGAGCCCAACATCTCGCACGGGCGGGGATTGGGGCAGATTGCAGCCCGATAAGCAAACGTGAAAAAGACTTGACACAAGACAGACATGACAAACGGGCACCCTTGCTTTTGCAGGGTTCGGGCCATGACAACCTTGCGGCAGAAGACTCTGAACAGCTGTACACAGTTACAATGGGGGCCACGATGGGGCGTCACGATGGGGGGATCAGGATATGGATGGGGACGGGGTATGGATGGCGAACATCATCGGGAACAAATGCAAACGCCAGCCAGTTGCGCGATGCCCGCGAGGTGCGCCGCGCGTGCCAAAATACCCCCATCGCCCCTTGTCAAATTATAATGCAAAGCGATCGCGGGGCGGCTGCGCGCGATTGTTGCTGGAACATGTGTTTACTCATTCTTTCTGACAAAGAGTTATGGGCCTCGCAACACGTAGTATGCAGGCATTCCCCTTGTCCTTGTCAAACAAACAATGCAACGTGAAGGCTCGGTGCCCGCGCATGATCGAGATTTTGCCGCAACGTGTGTTTTTAATTATTCCCCACCCTCCTGCATTGGGTTCTCGTTTTGAATATAGCACTGCGGTCGAACACCTCTTTCCTCCCGCCCCCTCTCCCCTTCCCTCCTGCCTGTCACCTTGTTCCCTCCTGCGTGCCAGCTTGCCTCCTACCTGGCTATCCCTGGGAGGCTGCGGTCTGCGAAACTGTCGCCGCTTTCGAAGGCTGCTGGGGTCCAGCGGAGTGACGTGCTACGCAGACTCAGATTACGCCACTTTCGAGGGCTGCTGGGGGGTCCAGCGGAATGGCGTCCCACGCAGATTCAAACATTTGTTCGCCATCCTCGGGGGGCTGCGAACTGCGAAGCTGTCACCATTTTGGAAAGCTGCTGGGGGGGCCAGCAGAATGACGTCCCGTGCACATTCAGGTTCGACCTCGCCATCCTTGGGGGGCTGCGGTCTGGTAAATTGTCGCCACTTTCGGGGCTCCTGGGGGTCCAGCGTCGTGACGTCCCACGTGAATTTAAATCAGACGCCGCCATCCCGGGGGGGGTGCGGGCTGCGAAACTGTCGCCACGTTCGAAGGTTGCAAGGGGGTCCAGCGGAATGGCGTCCCACGCAAATTCAAATCAGACCTCGCCATCCCTGGGGAGGCTGCGAACTGCGAAACTGTCGCCACTTTCGAGGGCTGCTGAGCGGTCCAGCAGGGTGACGTCCCATGCACATCCAGATTCGACCTCGCCATTCATGGGGGGCTGCGGTCTGGGGAGCTGCCGCCACTTTCGAGGGCTCCTGGGGGTCCAACGTAGTGACGTCACACGCACATTCAAATTACACATCGCCGCCCCAGGGGGACTGCGACCTGCGAAGCTGTTGCCACTTTCGGGGGCTAATTACTGGGGGTCCGATTTGCGAACATGTTGCCAAGTGTCGCCGCTTTCGAGAGCAACTGGGGGTTCCAGCGGAGTGACGTGCTGCGCAAACTCAGATTACAGTCGGGCTTGATTGGACAGGGCACGCGAGAGGACACATGACCCTTTCGAGGGCCACGTCGCCGTAGGAATGTCGACAGCGCGGGTCGCGCGCCACAGGACACAGGGGTACCCTTGATCTGGCAGGGTCGACCTACTAATCAGGGCCGGCTGTCGACCTCGCCATCCCTGTAGGGCTGCGATCTGTGAAACGGTCGCCACTTTGGAAGGCTGCTGGGGGGTCTAGCGGGGTGACGCGCTACGCAAAAGTCAAATTGGAACTCGCCATCCCTGTGGGGCTGCGATCGGCGAAACTGTCGCCACTTTCGAAGGCTGCTGGGGGGTCCAACGGAATGACGTCACACCCGGATTCAGATTAGAGTTCGCTGCCCCCGCGGGGCTGCGAACTGCAAAATTGTCGCGACATTCGAAAACTGTTGGGGCTTTCTTCTGGGACGCCCAAAACAAGATGTCACCAATTGTTTTCGGACGTGCACATTCTTCCATCTACCCGTTGCGCGGCGTGCCAAGCCAATGGCTCCGGGTGCCGTGCGCACTCTTTGACAAAATTGTCCGTCGGACCAGCGTCAACCCGGGAGATGCGGGCGCCATGCGCGGCATGCTACCCCTGCGCGCGGGCATGCGCATCCGCCTGGAGCAGCTGGACCACACCAAAGGGGCTCGTCAAAGACGCCGCGGGCGAGGCCGTCCAGGCGGCCGTCAGACCTAAAAATGAGGACGAAGTGGGGGCAGCGAAGGCCGAGCGACGTCCGGCGTACCTGCGGTGCCTGCCGTACGGCGCGTGGGTGCGCATGGACAAATACAGCGCCAGCCCGTGCGGCAAGATACTCGCGGAACTCGATGACAGCATCGGCGCCGCGGACGCGGCGCGCCTCGTCGTCATCGAGCCGCAGGGGTCAAGCCCTTTCGACTACCTGAATCACAAGGTCACGCGCGTAGGCATGGCCATCTCCCATGCCGAAGTCCTGGCGTCCTGCCCGGGCCGCGCCATGCACCGCGGTGTCACTGTCGACGCCGGGTGCCAAGACTAGAACTGAATGGTCGCCCTCTGGCTGCATCTCCACGTGATGCTGTCGAAGGCGACGATCGTGGACAACCTCCAGATGATACGCGACCCCAGCCTGGACTTCCTGGTCCGCGGGCAACCCGCATACCTGGTGGCGCGCTTTTGAGCGTGTAGCTCCCGCAGTGACAGGTGCAGGGAGGAGGCAGAGGATCTGGCGGGCGAGCCGGGCCTTGCCCGCTTTTTGCGTTAGCTATAAGCAGGTTTAATTACGTTGAGCGCCGCGGCGACATGGCGCAAGCAGCGCTGCATCTGTAGCGTATCGCTGACAAACAGCAACGCTCTCCTGTCTCCCCCCGTCGCATTCGTCGTGGCCCACCTCTCCTTTGTCACCTTCTTTCGGCTGCTGTCGCGCTAGCTGTTCGGCCTCCCATCGTGCCCTTCTCCTGCTCTCCGTTCCCACCCCATGTCCTCTTCGAGCCTGGGCCCTCGCTCCTCGTCCTTCTACTGTTGTCTTGTGAATCATGCTACGTGCGCGAATCCCACGTAGCTTCCACAACATACAACGGCGCCTGCAGTGTCATTGTCCTGAAAAGTTGGGGCCAACCCATCTTGTCACTCAGTGCAGATGGGTCGGGTACGTCGACAAGGTAATGTTTGACAGGGTTGGTGGAAAAAAGGGTGTTGTCGCAGTCCCAGGTTCGCTTTTCGTCGCGTGGGGAATGGGATCGGTTTTCATTAGGAGCAGGGGATGTGTAGGGCTAGCGTTGTTGGGTTATCACAAATACACGGGGTGACGTGGATAGGGATGTAGGTTCATGGCGGAAGGAGCACATACATATATATATATATATATATATGTCAGGGTGAAGTGGCCGAACGGTCATTCACTGTCCTTGAAGTGGAGTTCTGCGGAGCGGAATGTTGTTGTTGTTGTTGATTTCCCATTTCTAAGCAATAATCGTTGCTCCCATCCCTTCGGTGCACATTGCGTTTTCTAATTGAAGTGCCCACACTGGGGCTCGCAACCTGTTTTTTACAAAGGAAGGCCTTGAGTCGTAGAATGTTGTTATTGGCCCTTGGTTTACAGCAACAGCGGTTCGCGTTTGATGCTTCCTCACAATGTATTCCCAAATCGCGCTCTCGCGCGTGAATTCCTAACAACTTATGCAGGAATCGCACTCTCGCGTGGGACCTCCTACGCTTTATTCAGACGCCGCGCCCTCGGCACTCATCAATCAATCTGTCGCTGTGGATTTCCTTTGGATTTATTTGGGGGTCGCGCTATCGCTAGAGACTTCCTCGCGATCCATGCAGGACGCACGCTTCAGCAACCCGCCTGCTCGACCTGGCCGCCTGGGCCCGCCTTCCCGACCCGCCTGTTCGGGTCCGTCCGCCCGATCTGCCCGGCTGGTTCTGCCACGTCTTTTCTGCTCCTAGCCCCCCTCCTGCTACTCTCTTTCGTGTTCCATCATCCTTTCTCCCCTGCCCATTTCTTCTATCTGTCCTCTATTCGCCTGCTTAGGGGCTGCACGACATGAACGTTGCAAGTCGAAAATATATCTACCCCCGAGGGGGTACGATCGAAGACGAAGAGGGAGGGTACCGAGGGTTTGGGGTATAAGTGTTGGATGGCACGCGAGTCAGATCAGAGCGAACAGTCTTAACATGATTGATGTTGTTGTCGCTGCTGCTGTTGTTGTAGCAGTTGTTGCTGTCGTTTGTTGCTGTGTTTTGTTGTTGTCTGTTGTTTGCTGCCTGTTGTCTGTTGTTGGTTGTTTGTTGTTTGTTGTCGTCGTCCCCCCCGCGTCCTGGCCTGCGACACACCTGCGACCCACCCACGACCCACCCCCGACCCACCCCGCGCGACCCGCCCGTGACCCACCCGCGACCCACCCGCGACCCACCCGCCACCCACCCGTGATCGGCCCCCTGACCCACCTGCGACCCACCCGCGACCCACCCCGCGACCCGCCCGCGACCCACCCGCGAACCAGCCACATTGCTTTGACGAAAAAATCGGCGCCTGTGGCGAGCTCGTTGTAAGAATTGCAAAACTTAGGTGCTTGCGGCGGGCTTCTGCAGAATCTCGCAGACTGCCGACGTCACCGCTGCCCCCTCACTCTTATCCGCGACTGCGAAGTGCTACGTATATAGAGTTGGATAAGGATCCCGTGCCTCTGGGCACGGAGTGGGCGTGTCCTCCGGTCCGTTGCCTAAGCCTCTAAGCCTCAAGCTTCACTCTTGAAGAGCTTCTAAGGGGACCCAACCCCAAAGTATCAAATCTCCAAGGGCTTGGCGCTGTTCCGCTGGGGTTTTCCGCTGCCCGTCGCGGCTTGTCGCATGAGGGTTTCGGACCCACGACGGGTTCCAAGACGGGCCAGGAGAGCCGCAAGAAGCCCCCGAGATGGCCCAAGAAGGCCCCGAGTCGCCGAACGATCGCTCCAGCATGCTCAAGACGGCCCCCAGACGGCCCAACAGGCTTCCAAGACGCCCAACAAGATCCCCAAGAGGCCCCCCAAGAGA